GCACTGGCAGGAGCAGCAGTGCAAGTGCTCACAGGGCAAGGTAACAACAGGCAGGGGAAGGCTCGGCAGGACAGCAGGGGAGTGCCTCCACTGAGAAGGTTTTCTCAGGACAGGTAAAAGAGAAGGCAGTCAAAGAAACCACACAGCTGCACAGCAGGCAGCTCTCAAGTTTACAAGAAACAAACAAACAAAAAAACCCCAAACCCAAAGCCCTTATATCCTGAGCGAACCAAATATTTCTGGGAGATGAGGTAACCCATGGTAGCTAAAAATACTGTCCTGTGGAGACCTCCTCCTGTGCATCACCCTGCTGACAGCTGGACCCTCTGACAGGCTGTTAGTTCTGATCACAGCCTGCACACAGCACCTGAAGCTAATCCCTTAAGCTAATTCCTCAGGGGCCACCTGCGTGCCCGGACTGAAGAAGAAGCCTCACCAGCTTTGGCCACCAAAGCAGCTGCAGCCATAGAAGGAGCCATTTGTTCACAGCACCCAAACTAAATCACAATTAGCCCAGTGACAACAGGCCGCTGAAGCACATCCCCAAAACCACAAGGTAATTACAGATCTACTATCAGTTCTTGTTTCCCAGTCACCAGACATCCAAGAGAACAACCATGATCAATGCACCTCCTTTTTTCCAGTGTGGCTTCCAGACATTTACATCTACTAGAAAAACCCAGAATTTTGCAACTCATGCCTTCAGGTCCAGCACTGATGAAGTTGCACAGTGAGCTTCTGCAAATCCACCTGGCAAAAAAGACTACAGGAAGCAAATTGCAGCAGTTTTCCTGAGCTGACATATCCTTCTAATTGGCTTCATGATCTGACTTACTGATGTTTTGGGTCCCACTTCCTCTAGAAATTACCTCTGATTCCCCATACTACTGGGGAAAATAAGCTTAGCAATAACATTTAGACTCACTGTCCCTAGCAATGGGCCGTGCCATCAGTAACACACAGCCAAAATGAAACCAGACTGTGCATTCCAGGGAAACACTTGCAAGAATGGCTTTTTCACACAAGTTTCTTGCTTCAAGGTCATCCCAACCCACATGACAGACAGCTCTGATAAGCAACAGCACAACAGCTCACCAGAGACTTAAAAATAGTAGAGAGTTTATCAAGTTCTCTTTCTCTCCCTACCTAAGGCTTTCTTAAACTAAAATAGATATTTTATTTTCTTCTAAAAGAAAGTTGTGTTGATTTTGTTGGTCCTATTGCATAGCCAAGAACTGCTGCTGCACATAGAAATATCTATCTCCATCAGGCCTCAGCTCACTATTTCTAAAAATAAAGTAAGTAATATTAATTTGTTCCTTCAGCACCTGGTGTTTAAACTTATTTCTTGGCAACTTCTGTTCTCGGCATTTAAACATTTTTCATATTCACCTTAAGTCTGGCAGCACTATTGGTTATCCTTCTCTGCCTCACTAATAATTTGGTTGATGGCATGCAGGTGGGTCTCTCATAATTAAAAAACCCATCTGCAAACTTTGCATTAGGTGATCTGAAAAAATAGAGCACTCCTTTCAAAGGTTAAATAAGTAAGCTGCAGAGCTCCATGAAAATATTGCATAATTTAGAGATAAAAATAGTTTTGCTTTATTCAAGCTAGGCTGGATAGGTAGATTTTTACTGCAATCAGCCTAAACCTCATCTCTCCAAGTTACATGCTCAAGTTGATTATAGAAAATTAAATTTAGTATTAATCAAGCTAGGAAGAAGGAAATTACAAAAATTAACCTAATGCATAAATCATAGAAAAGAATGGTGGAGCCAGCTAGAGATCATTTAATGCATCTTCATCTGGTCCCACACCAGAACCAACTCCCCCCCTTCCCAAGCCACTCTGACAGTTACTGTCCAGCCCTTTCAAAAATTTCCCCACAACACAGGTACCAGAAGCCACCACTCAGAGCCCTGCAGGCCCCCACCAGCCCTTCTGCTGCAGGCCTTGCCTTGGCATCCCCCAGCCATCCTGATTTGGGGGCTCCCCCACCCCTGCCCCAGCTGGCAGGGCCCAGGAAAGCAGCTCCTCCCAGCTGCACTGACAGGTCACTTGCAGTTTTGGGCACAGAAATGCAGCACTTGGCACCACTGGGGGGGGGGAAAAAAAAAAAAAAAAAAAAAGAGCAAACCCAAAAGGGCAAGTTCAGTTACCTAATTACAGAGGATCCAGGCTTAGAAATATATATTTGTAAAAGTTTCCTGATTTAGAAAGAACTCTACGTATTGGCTGTGGCTTTCATCTTCTCTACACCATAAATTACAAATTTAGCATCTGACAGATCTGCACTACAACTTTATCCCAGTTTTACAACTGAGAAACTACTGCCTGCATAGGATCTGTTCCAAATTGTCCTTGAAGTCAGTGGGATCTCCCAGTGAGCCCCATGGGACACGGGGTGGACAAGCATGGTTCCATATTTCCCAAATAGCTGTTCAGCAGTTTGCAAAGCCATTCCATCCTCTGGACACAAACCCAAAGAAGCTTGGTAGAGGGCTCTGCTGACACACTACCACCAACATGCAACTACACTTCCATGGAGTCACAGCTGATGGTGTATTAAGCCAATTTTGTCTTTTACATGCAAATTTATTAAACATGGAGCAGCCAGTCAGCCGTACAATCCACTCTACCCAGCCAAAACCATCCCATTTCAACTTGTATAAGGAAACATTTAGCTCTGAAGCTACATTTAGAGCACAAGAGTTTTCTTCTCTGAGCTACATCCTGATGTTTTCTTCCTTCCCTAATCTTACTTGCTAGGACATGTAAAAATCCAGTCTTTATCAGCTGGGGGTATGGGAGGGCAGTTTTAGATGAAGCTATTACAAGTGCATTGTTTTCTTTATGAGAAAAAAAAAAAAAAAAGAAAAAAAAACAACAAAAACCCAGCAATTTAGAGAAATTAAAAACCTAAACAAAGTTCTTAAGAGTTCCTCTTAGTCACTTCCAAACTTTTTCCTAATCCCTTTGAACTCCAGCAGTTTAATCAACAGCTTGTTTAGGATTAATCTTCTCATCCCAGTTACACACACACACACAAATATTCATCACAGAATAAATTAAAAGGCAGAATCCCCATAAAGAGCCATAACAATTTCACATACTCTGGAAGCAAGACTAAAGGCCTCAGTAGGACAAAGGCTGGAGACAGAAAGAGCATCTCAATGAATTCCTGGGACACTGGGGCCCCTGTGCTGCTCAGCAGCAGGGCCAGGCTCACCCAGCAGCACTGTAGTCAGGGGCAGACCTGGCTGGGGGGAGCTCCACTGCAGTCATTAACACAGCTCAGCAGGTCCGGGCTGGGCAGTCACAGCCCTGCAGCCTCCCCAGGAGCATGCACAGGTGCATGCAATTCCCCAAATTCACTGACTGCAGCTCCTGAGCCAGCTGGCAGCAAGGGCTGCAGGGAGACAGCAAGGCACCTCCCGGGATGCCGTGGGAAAGCACCGCTGGACACCACCATGCAGTGCAAATAACTGCTTGGCTCAGGGCTTGAGGACAAAGAGCATGTTTGACTGGGCACAGCTACAAGCATTAGAGAATTAAGGGAACTGGCAGGTGAAAACACATGGGCCATGAAGGAGCCCAGGAGACTTCCCCAGAAACACTCCAAACACCATTGCTTTTACTAATTCCTAGTCCTATAAAAGCACTTCAGGAGCTTCTGAAGAAAACTGCCTTATACTGGGGCAAATATCCCTTGTTTTAGGAGTATGTACAGGAGCTACAGAAGATGGACATTGCAGCCAGGTCAATTACAAAACACAAGGTTCAATGAAAAACAAAAGGGGTTTCAGGGAACAGCACCTGTCTCCTAAGCACTCTCCTGTCCAGGGAACACGGTGGGCAGCCCTGCAGTGCTGCTAAGGGGGTTGGCTGTGCAGACACTGCACTGAGGTAGAAAAGGCATTTTGTACCACCCATCACAGCTCTGCAGAAGCAGCACTCACTGCAGACACCCTTCCTGGGATTTGTGATGCTAAAGAGCAGCATTATTTGGAGAGCACAGGACTGCAACCTGCCAGTTTCAAGTTAAGGCCAAAGCCAAATAAACAAGTTGTGAAGGCAGATTGGATTTCAGGTCCTGCATTTCTATTTGTTCTTATAGCACCTTCCCATTTTCACTGTGGGCATGGGGTGTATGACTTTCCCCTGTATCCAAAGCTATGAAGTATTTTACAGTACAGGGCTGCTTTGCCACTTTCAAATCAAGGTGATTCATGCAGAGGATGGACAGAAAAAACAGATGGCAGCAGAAACACAGCAGAACTCTTTCCACTCTGCCATCAGTCCTTGTGCTGGGGCAGGCAGGAGAGGGGGAGCTGTTGTCAGGTGATGAGAACAGGGCATCTTGTGATTAAAGTGTATGGGGACTACTCAGCAGCACTTCAGCACTGTGCAGTTTGTGTCTGGGTACATGAACACCTTCCAGTGTCTTTTGTCCTTTGGAAATCTGTGTTATCCAGAATGAGACTACCTTAAGTGCAGCCTAACCCTTAACAGGAAGGCATCTGTGAAGAGACTCCCTGACCTCATCACTGAGCACTGAGGAACTGCCTTAGAATTCACAACTGCTTGTTTGCACAGAGATGTGTGTGTGTCTCTGTGAACCGAGGTGGTATGATCCCAACAGCTGTAAGGCTCCCAGATTCCTCTGCAAGCTGAGAGCTCACTATCTTGACACTGATACCTCTGAGGGAAACAACTTTGTCACAGGTTCAGTGGAAGATCAGAGGACCTTGATAAATTATATTTAAGTCCATGTTCATTTCAGGGCACAGATTTCCCCTGCAAAGAAGTAAAAATTTATTAATAAACTGCAATAGTTTCATGTAAGAAACAGGAAAGCAGGAATGCTACTAACCTTGAGAATGTGAAGACCAGTCTCTTGCTTTTTTCCTCCCAACTGCACATCAATCATCCATTCGACTGCAGGGTTTTACTCTCATGCCTCTTATTAGCATTAACCATATTAGTTTTTACTTGGAATTTGTGAACAAGTATTCTGTTTATTAGCTTAATAAAAGCTCAGATGCAGCGATACAAACATCAGGCACCTCAGCACACACTAACACAGGGCTGCCCTTGATTTTAACTTCTTTATGCCACAGAGAAGTTAAGACCACCAGGACTTGAGATCCACACTGGAGATGCTCACTCCAATGAACACCAAGACCCCACCATGCCATCACCTGCACTGTTCACCTTGCTAATTTCACAGTTACTACTGACTGGGCAGCATGGCTCTCACACCATACTTACACCTTATGTACCTCTGGAACACATCACAGATACTTCCTGGGTTTAGAAGTCCTCTTGGCTTCCTCCTCACATATCAAATGTCTTAGAGCAACACTGCAGAAGAATGTTGTCCATGCATCTAGACTATACATCACATTTATTTAAACAAGTATGCAATTTAAAGTCCCTGAGTTACACATCACCTCCTTACACCATTTCCCCAGAAATGCCTGCTTTTGCTTCACCACTGAGCAGTATTCTTTCCACAGCAGCATGCAGAGTCTCCTGAGGCATGCCACCCTCTTGTGTCCAAAACAAGTTTCACTAATTCCAGCTGGAAGTACCAGGAAAGCACTTTACCAGAGTAGAGACAAACAACCCTCAGGTGTCTGGGCACACAGGTCTCTCTCAACCTCCCTTCAGCACTCTGTTGTTGCTGATGCTTGCATTTCAAACAAAGTTCAATTCATTTCACACCAGGCAGGGAACTTGCACCAATTAGAAGCAATTTTCAACAAATCATGATAGAGTACCAAAAGCAAGAAGTATCAAATGTAAACATTAGTAACACATCGGTAGATTCAAAGAACATGAATGACCACAGAGACAACTCGCAATCCAGAAACAGCCTTTTGTCATGAAGTCTTTATGGCTTGACAGAAAGAAAGTTAGATTTGTTTTTGATGTGGTTAGTGCAATTTTTTTTTTTATTTGAGAGGTCAGTTAAGAAGAGTTAAACAGATGAATCCAGTATGACACCTCAGTTTCCGAGCTGCTTTTGAACCTGATCTGAAATATGGCACTGGACTCTCATCTAGAGTCAAGGCATTTGTGATCTCAGAAATAAAACCAGCTATTTGGCCCCCAGGATATGGAGAGGGCTCTTCAAGGGATAATTCATGTTTCATATAAAACAGAGGAAGGAAAGCTTAACAGCACCACAAGTGCAGCTGTGTGCTTGGCCAGTACCTCTGCAATCCACAAATACAGCTTCATCTAATACATAATTTATTTGGAAAAGTGAATGAAGGAAGGAGGAGTAGGCAGACTCATTGAAGAGATGGGTAATGCAGCATTTGAGAACAGTCCACTCCTGGAAATTCAGGCTCCTGCAAAGTAACCTTGGGCTTTTACACGAAGAAAGGCTACAAAAAGCATATTCCCCAACACTGTCTGAATTTAGATCTTCCTATTCTGCTATCTCATGCAAAGCAAGAACGAATATCCAAGCTTCTATCCAAAGCAAAAATCAGTGTCACTTTCCTTGACAGTGCTAATGGTGTTTAGAGGGAATTTTTCAAGTCGTGTACACCTTTCTGGAATCACAGTCAAGCTTCATGACACTCACCACATCTTCAGCTTTGATCCAAGCTATCCATTCCCTGATTCCAGAGACACCACTAGGTCTGGCACCACCATTTCCTTACACTTATTGCTTGACAAGCCGTATTCATTCCCAGGACACCTAGCTCACCAGAGCACTTTTGCTCTTCCCTTCATTTCTCTTCCCATACGAAGAGCTCCCATTATCCCTAATGGAAGTCAACACATGCGTGCACAGGACAGAGTAGACCTATTAAGGCTACATGGCTGACCAACAGAAATACATGTATGTAACTGAAATTTTCTTCTGTTCAGCAAAGGGCACTGAGTTTTACTTGAGACATTTTCACCTCTGACCCTTACTTCCTCGTATCCACCTTCTCCCCCTACCCCCTTTATGTACGGGGAAGACTCACTGTGCTTCCCTGATGCAAAACAAGAAATAGATCACATCAAGTTTGCTCCATACACCAAAAAGGTAAAAAAATAAACAAACCAAAGGACAAACTGGTTCACAGTTAATTATAAATAAAAGTGCAGTAAGTGTTCAAGTAGAGTGTAGAGTTTAAGCAAGCTGTACAACCACATTTGGTATAGTCATCTTTTAAAGGCCCTGCGTGGGTCCCTCCCGTTACTGACAGCAGGGGGAAGAGGCTGAACACTATTAGCTGGTGCTGGATTTACAGGTCCTCGTCCATTGCCTCTCCCACTACCTGCATAAATGTGGCCGTGGTTATACGTGAATGGAAATCCACTTGCTTCAGGTCCAGTTTGTAAACCATTTCCTAAAAAGACAGAAAAACCATTATCACAAGTTCCATGGCTTGAAATCACCGATTCCTTACATAAGTTTATCCACAGGGAATACATGGATTTCGCAGTAAACACCAAACCCTGAAGACCAGAAGGAAAAGCCTCTCTGGCAGTGCAAGACCCCAAATCACAGCTTACCTTTCCCCTCCCAAATTACCTTCCCTCCATCCCTTTCTCAACTAAAGCAAGAAGGATCACAATAACAGCTGTATAACACCAGCTACTGAGTATGGGCATTGTGTAGGCAGGCCAGAACCAAGGTTCCCTCAGTTTACACCTACTCAAAGCCTTGAAGCATTTTCATATTTGAGAGTCTATGTTTAAATACAGCACAAAATGATCTGAATAAGTAAAAGACTGGAATTCAGATTACCACCACATCCGTTTTTGTGAGCTAACCAGGCAGGAAAGCCATGGTGTCTAGCAAGACTTGAAGTAATTTTTAAAGCCCAAGTCTCAGGAAGTTGAAGAAAAGCAGAATTTCAAGTGCAGCAAAAACTTTGCAAAAGCATCACAACAATTTAAGATTAGTCAAGACCCCTTATGTGATATAGGCACCACAAATATTCTAATCTCCTCCTCTCTCCTACAGAAGAAATCCTAAAAACATTTTCAGGAGATGTTCATGTTTACATGCTTGAGGTTCTGGCCCCAGCCTGAATGACTTTTTAGAGCCTAGTACACTTTTTTATCCCTAGAATGGAGAACCCTTGAAATAAATTTCTATTCCCATTAAGTGTTTCTCATTTTTTCACTTCTACAAACTGAAAAAAAAACTTACCCAATGGCCCAAAAGTACAAGTACCCATACCACTTGATGCAGAAATACTATTCTGTTCACCCTGTGCCTTTCTGGAAAGGTAACAAAAAAAAAAAAAAAAAAAAGACACGGATCAGAGTAGGAAAATTCACACTTTTACAGAAAGGGGCTGATTTTTTCCCCTCTGTGTTTTTACAGTGGCTACACATGTAATTTATCTCCTACTTCAATTATTGGCTAATTTCTAGGTATATATCACTGAGTCCCTTTTTCAAGAAGAGTCACATCTGATCACAACCTAGTGTGAAATATTCAGAACAAAGAGCACTTTAGGCCAGAAGCCCCAGACAAGTTTAACATACCAGTTTGTTCTGCCCAACGTGTTCTGAGTTGGGTTCGCTGTAGTTTGGCACTTCTGAGTACACCATGCAGAACCTGGGAAGAAATTAGAATTATTAGGAAGTTCTAAAACCATTTTTTTAACAGAGTTCTCAACTCCACAATTCACAGAGCATAAATTCTTGACATCCCATCACCTAGAAGTAATTTATGCAGACCCCACTGTTTAGAAAATATCTGTAGGTATTAAAAGGCTCTTTCATCCCTTTATAGGCTTGTGGTGAGGCTGCCACATCTTCCTGGTGAGGACATTTCAATCAAGCAGAGGCAAGCACTCATTTAATCAAGAAGGTAAACTGGCCTAAATAAAACAAAAGGCGATGAAAGGGCTCCCTTTGTCTCTCTTCCAGCTGCATAATCTTGTCCAGCACCCACTCACAAGGTCACCTGAGGCACTGAGTCACCCAGCCTGCTCCCAGACAGGGACTGCATTACACCTCTAGAGAAAACTCACTCCCACACACTCCCATACTATGCAGTGCCCCATTAACAATAATAGCACAGAGGAGCCCAACACAGGCAATGAAATTGGAATGAAAAGGATGCTTCCATCCTTTTCCACTCAAGGGGACTATGACAGAATAGGCCCATCAAATCACAACATGGAAATTATGGCAGAAAGGAAGAAAGAGCTGGATCATTACACTGCTTGGAATGGTTAAACACAAGTGGAGCTCCCACCTGCTGCTGAGAGGTACAACTCAGATAAGGACTCTCATCACTCCAGCCTGTTGGAGAGAAGTCAGCTGGGTAGCACTTCTGAGGTAATGGATTTTGTACAAGACAATCTGTAGATTTTTTTTGTGTAAATCCATCTGAACACTGGGCATTCTGAACCATACAGGAGGATACGTAGCAACCCCAGAGCCCCACTTCCCTGATGACTGCAAGGTTTCCCACAGCACTGTGCAACAGTGGAAGTACTCCTCTGGTTAGAAAAGGTTGCTATTTTTTCTATTGCTCAAGTATGTTACTCATGTTTGTTCTCAGGCAGGAGCTGTTGCCCCAGTCCGTGGGCAGTTTAAAGCAGGTTTAATGAGGCTTGTTTCTGCTTGGATATGATTCACTGCAGTGACCTTGCTCTTCCTTCTCTGCATTGCCTGTCCCTCAAGGATGACACACATACAAAAGGCTTCCACCAAAATGAAGCGGTTAATCAAGATAAGGCCTAGGTAACCAAAGCAGGTTGTCATTTATACATTTCCTCCTCCTAGACCTGTGCCAATGATGCAGGCTGATTGTCCTCAAAGTACCTACAGCCCAGACAGGGTCAGAGCTCATTACATCCACAACCAACTGAGAACACACTTTTGCTACCCTGAATTCCGTTTCCTAAGAGCTACCAGGTCTCATACTTACCGTGGCACTCTGCTGAGAGCTATGAGCACACAATACTTACTCCCCAATTTTATGCAGCTCCCCTCCTCGTCCCGTGTAAAGTGTCAGGCATCCTTTCCACAGAGATGCGTACCTGGCCACAGAAAGGAGAAGTGAAGCAGTTTCTTACTGAATGAGCTGACAGAGGAAGTGGAGGGATACTATCTTCCAGGAAGCTAGCAAGCATTACACACAAGCATGGACCAAAAAAATTCCCAGGGACCCCAAAGTCACCAACACCAATTGTTTATAGATCCCCATGTACTACTTCCAGCAAAAGGTACCGGAAGCTCAGCAGACTCCTTTGACAATTCCAGGAAAGCAGCCAATTATTTTGAGATTGGATGCTCTTTTGTAGACTGGAGCAACCCTTATGACTTGTCCTGCAGAGAAAAGGCATTTTGCCAAAAGCAGTATCTGCGTTATATTTGGTGACAACTCTCAGTTCTGCTTTCAGCAGGAGCCATGAAGAATCACCGCTGCTTGCTGGAAAACAGCTACTGCTACTAAATGTGTATGATCAAAAGTGCTTCCATTCCTGATATAGGAAACCAGACTGGGTTTTTTAAAGGCACAAGTTTGGCCATCAAACTCCAAGTGATGTATAGAAACACACTGAAATCAGTTTCTGATTGCAGGAATGTTCTCTCACAAAGACAGGGTGAGTGCACTCTATTCTTTATGGTGGCACTTGACTTCAAGCACTGAAATCTGAGCCATACAAAACCTTCTGTGTAATTGTTCCCTTCAGTGAGGGGCATCACGCATGTGTAGAGAATGAGTAAAGCACAGACCAGAAACACAGGCACAGTGCAAGGGAGTTAAAAAGAATGGGCGTGTCTTCTCACCCAGGAACAGGGAGCCTCAGCAACTGCACTCACAGGAGTCACCACTCTGGACAAGTCACTACTTCCTTACGCTCCGGGTGTATCTCTGGAACAGATAACAAACCTGCCTCTTGCCCTTGGCCTTATCTGCTGAGACTGGGAGACATCCGGCCACACGCAGGGCCCTGAAGGGGCACCAGGGAGGAGTCAGGCTGGCAGGAGAGGACAGCACTGCCAGTGCAGTGATAACCCTCTCTGTACTTCAGCAGGAAAGCACAGGCACTGTAACTGCAGATACTATCTTGGGAGCTTTCCATCCAGAACAAGGATTAGTGCTCTTCACTTCATAGATTCACTTTAAAGATTCCCTCACTGCTTAACCTTTAATAACCAGCTCATCAGGCAGTCTTGTGGCAGAAAATAAAGGAAAAGAGCTACCAAACAATAAATGTAAGTCAAACATGCATTTACTGGGAAAAGACCCTGCAAACCATGTGACTAACAACCTCCAGCACAAAGTTATTCCACATATGCAAGCATTGGTTTTTATATCAAAAAGAGCTGGCCATAAAGCACTAAACTCCAGCACTAATTTCAAATTTAGAAATATTAAGTGCAACAGCGTCCTGTAAATGGGTTCACCAAATTACAAAAGCAAGCAACAGTGTCTGCTTTTGCAGAGGAATGCATCTGCAGCTTGAAAATTCAGCAAGGGGCAGAAAAAAGGCATGTTTACTCGTGGAGCCTGTGTAAGCTTTTCTGCTTGTATCAGAGGGCATCCTGCACTATGAGGCCAGATTAGCCTACAGAGCTGAAATGTACCTGCCTTGCAAATGGCAACATCACACACTCAATTCTATTTAAATATAAAATTGTGTTTGGAGAGCCCTGTATGCCAGCATGAGGACATTTTTCTGAAGATGAGAGCCAAACCAGAATGGATTTAGCTTTTGCCATTTCACTCCCTCAGCAGTCCTAAGGGAGCATGCAATTCATGTAAATGAAGGCATGACTTTGCCACCCACCAGAAACAGTGATGTCAGCTCATAAATTTAATACACACAAGCCAAGCTCAGTTTTTTAGATTAAAGGATGCCATGACTCGTTGCACAGAAGCACCAGAGCAGTTACAGTAAGGCAGCCACAGAAGGGAGTACAGTAATGCAGCTGAACAGTATCACTCTTAATTTGTTTCAATGTCATCTACACACAGGGCTTTGTGCTGGCCCAGAGCTCTGGTTTAGTTCCACCCATCCCTGAGCTCCACGTGCTCTCCACGCAAGCAGCCTTCCCCAGAACCACCTCTGCTGAGGAGTCAGCCCATTTCGTGTAAAAGGACATTTGCATAGGAGGAAGCAGCTGTAGTTTTGGTGGCAAGGGTCATGCAATTTCAGTCCAGAACTGAGAATTACACTCAACTGAACAACTTAAGAGCAGCTCAGTTAGCAGACCGAGTTGCCTTTCACCTACTTTTTCATAAAAACAAATTAAGAGGACCTTACACACACTGCAGATCCCTGAGTGCCAGTGGATCAGGCCAAAGGATCAGTGTCATGGATTTCTAAAAGTGCAACCTAACTGGCATGAAGAACTCAAATGAAACTCACTATGACTTTGCTAGTGACAATTTAAGTGACACAGAAAATGATTTTCAGATTGACTCTTAACATTCTCACAATAAGTTTGGAGGTTGGGGTTGTTTCTTTTTTTGATCAAATGACCTCTGAGGAACTATTTGCACCTAAACAAATTAACACATTCTACAGTGTAGCCCTAGAATGAATTTAATGAATTCTTATAGTGACACTCAAAAGGGTCTCCTCTGCCAGTCACTTTTGTTACATCATTCCAATGAAAAGCAACTTTTCTGAGTGATATGTAATCATCCTCACCTTTCATTAAGGAGCGGACTGCCAGAGTAAAGAATTAGCTGTGAAAATAAGAACATGCTTTGGACTTCCCCTGCTTGATTTACAGGCCAGGACTGACTGTTGCATTCCCCCCTGCCTCAGAAGTATTTTCCTCGGGAGCTTTTTAAAGCCAACACAAATCTCTTCACCACCACCACCTCCTTGTTACAAACCCAAGCCCCTCCTAGCCTGTACGCTCACGCTAGGCATGTTCTGGCCTGGGAAAGGTGGCTTTAATTTGGCAAGTGACCTTAGGGCGCTGGCTGGGTTACAGGGAGCGGGTGGGAGGCGGCGGCCGTGTCCCCCGTGGCCCTGGAGGGGCCCCGCGGGTGACAAAGGGCAGCGCGGCCCGGCCCCGTACGCACCCTTTGGTCAGGCGGATGATGTCCCCCGGCTGGATGAGGCCGCCGATCTCGTCCCACACGCAGATGGTGATGCTGCCCGTCTTGTCCGCCACCTTGCAGGACCTCACCTCGTGCCCGTCCTTCGTCTTGGTGACTCGCCCTGCGGGGAGAAGCGCGGCTCAGGGGGGCACAGCGCCGCCGGCCCCCCCACCCCGCCCGCCGTGACACGCGTGGGCGGCCCGGGGGTGGGGCGTGCCGGGCGCCACTTACCGATCTCCAGCACAATAAAGATGACATTTAAGTTTTTCAGTCCGGGTTTTATGTCTTTTATAAGGAAATACGTGTCGCTCGCCGCGCTCATGCTGCGGCCGGCGCGGGGGTGACGGCTAGCGGGGCGGGCCGAGCCCGCATCCCGCGGGGGAGCAGAAGCAGTGCGGCGCCGGGCAGGGGGGCACCGGCGACCCTCACAGGGGACGGGGACACGAGCACCGAGGGGCTGTGCGGTGACTGTGCGGCACGCCCGACCCCCACCGCTCCCTCTCCACACCGACACCACCAGCACAGCAACCACGTCGCCTCCCTCTCCTACCGGCACTGAGAGGCACACGTGCGCCGCGCTCCGCTTTATACCGGCCGGGCGCCACCAACGCGGGCGCCGGGAGGGGGCGATTGCGGCGAATGGAACCGTCCGGGGCACGCGGAGCGCCGGGACTGGGTAACGGGCGGGCGCGAGCCGGCGCCGCGCGGCGATTGGCCAACGCTGCTGCCGCCATCTTCTCCTTCTCGGGGCGCTGCCGCTGCCGGGTCGGGGCTGCTGAGTTGGGTGTGCTCCGTCTGCTCGCCGTGCTTTCCCTCAGCCCTTCGGCCTCCCCTCACCCCCTCGCCCACCGACTGAATTTGCCCCGGGCAACAGCCCCGCGGCGCCCCGAGGGCGGCTGGTGCGGCACAGCGGAGTAAGGGAGCGGTTCGCTGCCCTTCCGCGCCATTTTAAGCCCCGGCTGTAACGCTGAGAGGAGCGTTGTGACAGGTTTCCCGGAGGGCGATTTCCCGGCAGTTCCGCTTTCCTTCACTGGGAAAAGAAAAAGAAAAAAAAAAAAAGAAAAAAGAAATAAAGATTTGTGAGTTAGTTTTTTTTGTTTCCGGAAGAGATTTGATGTTGGTTTCCAACAAGCAGAAAAGGGTGTTGGGGCTGCGGGCACCTCAGGGTTTGGCAGGGCTGCACCACATCATTCGGACCCTGGGACCGAATGCTCCAGGCACGTAGGGAAAGCCAGGAGTTGTGCAGTAGCCTGCTTTAAGCTTTCCAGTGCTTAAAATTTGAGTCTAAATCCTGATGAACACCAAAAAGGCTTCAAAGCACCTGAATTCTGCCAGCAGCTTCTTGAGGAGAGGCATTACTCCCTTGAGTTTGGCTGCAGGCAGGGTGTAAAATATGAGGGAAGGGAGCTTGTCCAGGCAGGAAGCCATCGAGGTGGTGGACAAGCCCCCACAGGCATTGTGACATCTTTGGCTGGCAGGTCCCAAGGGAATAACTCTGTGCCACAAAACAGCCCAAACAGCTGTAATTCAGCTTTCCCCTTTAGGAAGGGTCGCGGAGCAGCGTATGTGCACTGCTGCTCCTTGTCAGAGCCAAACCCAGCTAGCTGGGCTTTCTATTTGTGTGAGCAGAAATCCATAGATGACAGCAGTTGTGAAATGCCTGGCCACACAAGAGCTCTGGCCCAAGGAATTTTGAGCAATATTTGTGTGTAGGCAGCAGAGCAGCCTTGCTGGGTGCCTCTCAGGGCTCAGAATGAAATATACTGCAGGAATTTGAGAGTTTGCTTAAAGGCCCCCAAGAGCTTAATCCACTTCTGTACTGAATCCTTCAATGAGTGCAGATGAGGGAAGTGACAGACTCCCTCAGGGGCCTATCTCCTGCTGGGATCTATAACACGGTAGCACTAAAACTTTCAGAGTCAGCAGCTGTATTTCAGTACATGAATGGCTTTAATTTAGTCACTTGGGAAGGATTTCAAACCAAACTCTAGGAATGACAGTGTATCTGGCAAAGGTTGGACAAAAATACATTTATCTTGATTTAGAACTGGTAACATTTTTTCATACATAGGTGGTTTTTCTGCCTTCATGTCTTCATTTTGTCTGCTACATCTATTTAGAGCCCTTGGAAAGAATAATTTTGTATCCTGTGTTTTCAGCCCCAAGCACAATAGATTTGAGGAGAACCCTTCAATTTTTCAAGAAAAAAACAAAAAAACAAAAAAAAAACCAAAACAACAAAACAACCAGTTAAGAAAGTTTATTCACATTATGAGAAGCCTTCAGCAGAAAGGAAGTCACAAGTGTGGTTAGCTGAAAAGCAGAAAACACTAAAACACTTCACCAAGAACACTTGTGTGGCGTGTCTCTGGTGAGATGGTTCCGGGTGAACATCTGTCCAGGAAGGCAGATGCTGGTGCTCCAGAGCAGCTGGAGAGGTGCAGAGGACACCAGATGTGGGCTCAAAGCACCTCACAGCCAGCACAGCTGGAAATGCTGCCCCAGGGTTGCAGCAGGGAGCACAGGGACCAGCAGCAGGATGGAGGATTTATTTTTTACCAAGGTTTCTTTTGAAGCTGGTAGGAAGAGGTTTGAACTAGAAATGACAGCACAGGGAGGAGCCCAAGCAATCTAGGCAAGTTCAGGAGCACACTGACAACTCCCTGGCGTGGCTGATCAAGGAACTAATATAAGGGTGCTCTGCTGGATCTCAGAATCAAGGAAGAACTGCTTGGAAACATGAAGGTGGATCAGCATGTGGTCCAGTGCCTGTGAGACAGTGCAGTTCAGGATCCTGAGAGGGGACAGCAGCACAACAGGCTGATTTTGAAGAGCAACTCTGATTTTGAAGAGCAGACTTTGGGCTCTTCAGGGATCTGCTTGTGGCATGGTGCTGGAAATTGCAGCATCCAGAAAAGCTGCCTGGCTTTCCAAGATCACCTGCCAAGGTCCATCCCCAGCACAGAGGACAAGAGGGAGGCAGACTGTTCTCAGTAGTGCTCACTGACAGGGTGAGAGACACGAACTGAAACACCAGATTCCACCTGAACACAAAAAAACCTTTTTTTTTTGTGGTTTTTTTTTTTTTTTTTTTAGTGTGAGGATGCCCAAAAATGAGTCAGTTGTGCAGAAAGGTGGTGGAATCTCACTCTATGGAGATACTCAAAACCCAACTGAACACACCTTGGCAACTTGTGCTGGATCACCAGCCAATTTCATCAATTCTGTGATTCTGTGAAATATTTCCTGTTTTCTCAAATGCAAAAAGACACAGCTGCAGAAAGCTTGATGTGTGGGATAGGAAGGCAAGGTCACAAACTCCTTCTGTAAGGGACTGGGACTGTGCTGGAAAGAAGAGCTGGTCATCTGCTCCCTTACAAGATCCTTCCAGATTCATTAAATACATTGTTTACAGTGTCTGTTCCACCACTGATGAACAATTTTGCTCTGTTTGTTTCTCAAAGAGACACTTAAAATCTTGCTCATATTTTTTTAATCATTCCAATTGCCAGCCGCTGAGAGTGCCCTTGGTATTATCCAATAGTGACTGCATGATTCCTGTTTGCTGTGAAGGTGACTGGCAAAGCAAAAGAGTTTTCCCCATCCTGCTTCTTTATAATGTATAAAGAAACCAGAATTATTGTTAATTTATTTTGGTTTTCCAGCACCTCTTTTCCTGCTTAATTTTTGACCTCAGAACCATAAGGTTATCAAGTCACAGCCATGGGTAATGGAAGCAGCAGCTCTCTGACCTTTCTGGGGCTGTAGTCTCACACAAACAGGCACACAGGGACTTTGATGCAGGTGTGTCTGCAACCTCAAGAGCTTCCAGAAAATACCCTGGAACAATGGATAGGCCTGGAAAAGGAGCCGGGACGCCAGGACAGCAATATACGCTGTAAAAAGAAGAGAAAGCTACATTGTCAATATCTAGGGTTTGTGGTCTTAAAAAAATGTTGATGAGCCCTGACTGCATGAATGAGTTACACTGAGAGCACCAAAACTTTGCTCCTGCTGTTCACAGGAGTTACAGGGAGCATGTCCAATAAACTGTGACTGCAGCCAAAGCATGAGCCCTTCCATTACTGAGGTGTCTCTGAGCCACTCTGTCTTACCATACAAACCAAATTTAGCCTGCAGAGAATGTCTACAGCAAGGGTTCCACTGATGAAGTTTAAGTCATTTCCAAGCTCACTTGCTTGCTGCAGAACATTTTTCTTCTGTGTGAAAGTTGCAAGTGTTTCTAGGCTGAGATCCACAGGGAGGTTTCAGTCCAAAGCAAAATCAAGGATGAGTTGCTAAAAGAGTTCTCAGCAGCTGAAGCCTGGCACAAGTCCCGTGCATCTCAGCAGGGCTGGGATTTCACCCTCTGGCTGCAATGGAGTTATGCCAGCAGAGACATTGCTCCAAACTCCCTATTTCTGTCACTTGCTCAGTATTCAGTGCTACTGAAGTCCCAAAGTAGATCTTCCCACAAGAAATCTGCCAGCAAGAGCAAAAGCTAATGTGTAATATTTTATTGTATACAGAGATTAAAAAGGTGCAGATGCCTGCAAACGCCACCTTTCACCAAGCCTTACTAGCCCATTACCATATGTCTGACAAGCCCCTAAATTAAGCTGCAGGTTCAGGTTTATAACACTGATGACACTTCAGCTCCCTAATGGTGTGTTTAACAAGCTGGCAGCCAGTCTGGCAGTCTGGAGACCCCAGCAAACAGTAGTTTGGTGTCTTCGGCATCTCAAACACACCACATTCTGCCATCAGGGTCAGTATTTCCCCAGAGAAATAGGAGTGATGCCTGGGAATGCCACACATGTTTGAGAGGAACTTCTTCCAGAAGTCAGTGGGGCGGGTGCATGGGGGAATCCTCACTCTGTTGGGGTCCTGTTCCCCAACAGGAACACATCCAAGCTGTCTGCTGCCCTCCTGCCTCCTGCAGGATGCCTGAAGCAGGAGGGTGCCTGTCAAGTGTCTGATGCCAGGATTCCAGGCAGCTCCATCTACCTCCCTAGCTGTTAGCTAGGAGAGCTGAATGACTACCATGGCACTGTAAATACCACAGGATTAAAAAAAAAAAAAAAGGTCAAGCAAACAATCAGAATTCACAGCATTCTTATTCTTTCCAGAGGAGCCACATGCCTGTGCGGCTGCACTAATGTAGCCTTTTCTTCCTGGGTTCCTCACATTTTTAGCACGTGTTTTCATCTGAGAACCCAGTCCTCCAAGGTGTTTTTGGAAGTTATTCATTTCCCTCTTTTGATGAATCCCTCACACATCAGTCAGATGACTTACATGAAATCACTGATATGGGGCAGTTCTACGTCACCTTTCCTGCTCAGCTGTGAATCAGCTTGACCTGGAGGAATTTGGGTCTAACTTTGCCCCATACAGATGGAGAGCATAGGTGCTGTTGCCTCTTCATCTTTTCCACTAGAGCTCCAAAGGACAAGTCTCAAAGCCCACTACCACTCGCAGCTGCTGTTTCTTGGGTCTCTGGTGAGTGCTGTAGCAAACCCCTGACCTCTCAGCCTTGCACCTTCATCAAAGTGATCTTTAA